ATTGCAGAATATACTGACATAGTGTTGACTAATATCAGTGTAAAATTGTTCCTTTGAATATTATCTGACATTACATATTTTCCGTTAGACCCATCTGTTAACTATTCTTATTCACAAACCCCTGAAAATTGATCTATTCTATTCAAGGAAGAATGAGAAAATTGATTCTTAACCTCCATCATCAATATTTCTAAAATATATGGATGATTAAAAATGTTATCACCAAATAAAAAATGGATGTTTTATTGGCTCACCCGGTGGAGTTTCCTCCTCTGACCCAGCCCAACTCTTGATGTTGTTTAGCCAACTGAAGTGTATGATAACATACGGCACTCTGGGGTATTCAATGGTGACTGTACATTAACATTAACGGAAAAATTTTACATTGTTATCTCCCAAGGAAAATGAAGTACTAATCTTAATTTCACCAGTTTTAGTCATAATTTCAACATTATTAATGATATGATATTAATGATAGAATTAATGATGGGGATATCACTTATATCCATGGGAAATTAACTAGATATTTTTGAAAGCAACCAAAATGAAAATGAGTGACTTTAATTTCACTCAAAGTTATCTTTCCTTTAAGATAACATAATAAATAAACTAAGCAATCAACATCAATATTCTAATGAACAGGGATCTTGTGGTATGAATTATGAAGTACAAAACATACATCTGTGGTGTCTGTCTGGTCAACAGGACAATCTATAAAGGCTGTAAAAGGATATTATTTTTCACCTATCAACTGTTAAGAGTCCAGACATTGAGATGTAATTATTTTAAACCTTTCTTGGTCCAACAAGGTGTTAATGTTACACCACAACTATGTCTACTTTAAACTAAGGATATCAACTGGAGACTTGGACATACATTCCCACCATTAAGGGACTGAATCTGTGAAACTTCACTTTTCTCTTTTAACCCTCTGTTGAAAAACTTATGAAAAATGATAAAGTTGCTCATGTCAATGAACAGTGGGGATCACAGGCGGACATTTCACTATTCTTGTCTATTTCTGTGACTGATATTAAATATTGTATAAAGGGTTGATCATTCTTAAATGATTACATATTTCTAAAAATTTAATAACAGATATTTGATGATTAGGTTTAGTGATCAATCTACTGAAGAGTAATCAGTCAATGAAGGGTTAAGGATGCGAGTCATAGAAATCCATAGCTTTGCGATATAAGACAATATAATTACGTACTTAGACAAATTCCCACGCAATAATCCCACATAGTAAACTTTGATAGAAAAAGGAATTTGCTTATTTTAAAAACTTTTCGATAAATATCAGAGATTTAAGATAAACTGAGTAGTACCTCAAAAATTTTATACACCTCTGAATGATGCAGTTTTCCACTTAAAACCAGTAGATTAAAAAACATTCTTAGACAACTTTCTCCGCCAAAACCTGAGTTATATTTAAATCAATCTGACTCAAGCAAAACTGTCAGCACCTATGTCAATTGATTAAATGCCAAATAAAACATCTGTAAAGATAAATCCTTTGGGCGGCAAATCTTATTCAATGACATTATCAAAGAGGAAGATAAAATTACACAGATGCCAGTAGTTTCACCATCAGGTGGCAAACTTAGTAAGATAAGACAACAGAGTTTCAGTAAGTTTAACTAAACTTGAAAACAAATAGATTCAGTAGACCAATTATTCTTTTAAAAATAAATCAAGGTTGAAAAGTAACATTTATTGACGTTTTTGTATTATGTGATTACTTTGACAAAAATTTGAACAAGTTTATATTCCTGGCATCAAGTTTTTTAAATAATTTTTTTCTGATATTAAATATAAAGATATTGGCTGAAATGAACTTCAGTTTTTCCTACATTTTACCTAAAATATCGAAAATAAGAAACTGTTTAAATAAATTGTGAATCTGGGAAATCTCATTATTCAAAATCAGATCAAAACCACAAAGAACAAAAACAGGATATTTACGATCCTGGAAATAGAATCAAGTGGTGGCCCATTACATGGAAGCGGTGCCCCATTACATGTTCACTGATACACCACGTGAGCAGGATAACTCTGAAAAGAACCAGTCAACCACCCAGTCTTACTGTCCCACTTCACGAACCTTGAACACAAAATAATCTGTAAAAAACATTGATGAAAAAACATGCTGAGTTTCCGGCTAAATGTTGTAATTTCATGACTGAAGTAGCACACAAATTAAGAATTGTTTGAATTTGTCAACACAGTATCCAGTGTCAGTGTAGTTATCAGGTACTCCTATCTGCTCTTTGCTGGAGAATATCACATTGTTATCTGCCTTGTAATGTCACTGGTGAGTGCTTTGATGCCTGTTAATTTGTCTTCCATTGACACTTGTGGACCAGACAACATTCATTCAGAAGCAACCAAGGGGTCTTCTCACTTTTGCTAGCTGAGGGATAATAATAATAAAGGGGTATTATTACTTATTACTTACACATACTGAGGGGGCATCTCATAAAGGGCTACTATTACTTACACATACACCTCACCAAGGGATCTACTCATTTTACAATCCAGATTTTCAATAACTAGGAAATTCTGAATTTGAAGCTATAAGCTTAAGAACATCTCATTTTCCTTATATTAAGATGGGGGAGCAGAATAGCCAACAGGAATTTATATGTAATTTCATAACTACTAGCAAAATGATAATTTGAAGATATTTGTTGTGTTTATAGATAAAGAGGCATATGAACAAATTATGAACAAACTTTTTATGCTTTTTGTTCATAATTTGGAAGCCATATTTGAAAAAAATGTTATGTAGCTCAACCCCTCAATAAGGCCCCTATGTATGTTATAATTCATTACTGATGGACTATGAACGAAACATTATTTTTGAAAATATCATGACTGAAACATGAACATACCTTACCTAGTAAGCAGAATGAGAAGTTCTTAAAGATGAACATGCCTCATGTGATTCTTTATTTCCAACTATTTTGTCAAGTGTTGATATTTTAAGTAAACAGAGTATCTATCAAAGTCTGTTGATGGTGCAAGTTGCACACCAATATGATTTTTGAAGTGTTTAGGATCAGGGGTTAAGCAAATTTATTGTCTTGTGTAATTTCTGATAGCTCAAGTTAGAGAGAGGTGCTGAAACCCAAGTTTTCAATGCTTCTTTCATCTTGATACGCATATTAACTTAACAACCACCAAAGTTCTCGATTCTGACAAAAATAGACTTTCTCCCCCATAAATCAATTCGTCTTTGAAGACAATCCCACGAGAATGTTAACTAACAGGTACTAAACAGGGAATAAATTCTAAAGATATCATATCCAAGATTATATCAATATAAAACAGTGGGGATGTTTACACTGGGAGAGTCTGGTCACTATGCATTCAGACTTGTGGCAAATTTGCGGCAGAAAACTTGATGATCCAAACAAGAAACAGAAAATGTGGTTGCCTTTAAAACAATATTCAGCATTATTTTATCTTTAAGTGCTTTGTATTGAAGCTAATTAGGTTGACTCCTAAAATAAGATTTCATATCTTTTCACAGTGAATTAGTCTGGACTATTTTAGAAAATCATTTAACTACAGGGGAAACCCAACTTTTTATCAGCAACTGAATATTTTAAGCATCGAAGACTTGAAAATTTCAGTTGACTTAAATTAAACACTACAAATCTACTTGAAATATTCGCACCAAAACCTCAATCACTGGTTTGGTCAAATAATAGGAGGAGTATTTGGTCAACATTATTTTAAAAAGATATCGCATGAAAGAAACCACACCTCTAGATTGTAAACTGTGGTCAGGAAGGAGCAAGTTATAAAAAACAGATTTCTTTGATTGTTAATGTTTAATGGTCATTTGTCATTTCCTAATCAAACTATTAAAAATTTGCCAATGCCTATTTGACCACAAAGTGACCGCAGAATTTAAATAAAATACTCTACTGAATAAATGTTTTCTGTAAATAATTTATTTAGCAAATTATCTGTACAAATTATCTAAAAATAGCTTTGCTATCTCTTTTATATCAACTGGATGTATCTGCAACTGTCCTGCAAAGTCTGACTCCAGATTATCAACTCTTAAAAATTACAGAAAAGTCGCAAAGATCCACACAAGAATATGCATTTTTTCTTGTTCCTAACTAAAGTTCAACAATCTTTACACCGTCATGATATAACCATCTTTTTCTCGTACGAGATGACATATCCTTTTTCAGGTTCAAGCATTAAAAGGTATCAAGGCCACTTGATTAAAAAGGTCATTCATAAGATTGAATATGATTGAGCACTATATGAAATGTGAAAACCTTTAGATCAATCTTTACATACAAAATTTTCACTTCAGACAGTGTTTCATGAAAAAATTCAATTTTTTCCAATTAAGGTTTCAGAATATATAATTTCAATGAAAGGTTGATGTTCACACTACTGTCTAGCACAAAACCCCCACAAAACATGGCAAATAAGGTAAAATATAACATGGGTATGTGAACATCTCAGTGCAAACACAGCGAAAATGTGAACACTTATTTATTCCCTCAACATGTAATCACATTCTTTAAATTTAATAAACGCATCAAAATGTTCACATTTCTATTCTCCTTGTGTGACTCTCATGCTATCAGAACCTCAAGATATGAACACCTCTCAATTCAAACACTTCAGGCTGGTCTAAGCAGTGTTTTACTGTAACTGAATACGGAGCTTGCTCTATCTAATAGCTGTCACATTAGCCATGTGGGCTCACCATTCGCCATGGTGTGGCTAATTTTGGGCATTAATTTTTGAATTAATTCATTTATTTTTGTATTTTGTGTGATAGGAGCTATCTTACTGCAAAACTGATTGTTTTGCCGACTGTGTGTCCATGCCATGTCCCGCAGCCTGTCCCAAAGTTTTCACATGGTGGTGAACGGTGAACCCAAGTGTGACAGCTCAATAACCCATTTTTTGGCTTCTGTGTTAGATATACTACAGCATGCACTTATGTAAATACTAAAAGGGAACATCTTATACTATATGTTAGTATATATATGTGGCATCCCTTACCTAGATACATCTGAACTATAGATGGCAGTAGGCACCATGGAGTCAACTTGTCAATGTAAATTGTCACTTTAACAACCATATAGATGGCGTTAACAATTCGATGTTGCGATTTTTCGCTGAAATTATTGTCAGTTTTTTCAATAGTTTATCATTGATGGATTTAATATTTTTAGTTTATTATATTGGTTAGTTTCCTGAACATAATCATATGCTCAGTTTGCTCAATCATTTCCAGTTCGTGCAATAAGAATTTCATCACAATTTGACAAATATCTTTGTATATGTTCTGGAACAGTAGAAATATTGAGCCATTGAGCTTTGCTGTAGAGCTTCAAAGAGTGATAACATAACTTGAGCTTGGACGAATGACTATGCAAGATCTTTCCACTAATGACATCATTAGACTTCATACAGATGACATCCCAAGAACTTCAGACAGATGACATCACTGGAACTTTTAAACATATGACATTTCTAGAACTTGAGACTGAAACTAGGCACAGCACCAGATGATATCCCCTTAGTTGCGGTTTGGAGATGGAAACCAGCGCCCCCTGTGGCCAACACTTGCTCTATGTCATCATCTCCCTGGAAACAAACGAAATAAAATAGATGACTCTGGTGTAACTATAATATGAGGTGAAATAGAGGTCTCTGGTATAGTTTCAATAAAGAATACTATAATCTGATAATCAGATGTGATTCCTCAAAAATCAAACTGCAAAGTAACTAAAGTAGCCAAATTTAGCCGAGTCAACTGTTTTTATAAATAATTTTTCTATTTAGCCTAGAAAGGAACAGTTTAATAACTACTTTATCTCTCTAGGGATCATAATACAATACATATTTAATATATAAATGTAGAAGTCAATGGTAACAAGAAACTCAGTGCCTTCAATGGATATCTACACCTGAGTTATCTTGTTAGCAGAACCCAAGGAAAGTTCAGATTTGCAAGATAACTCAATCAGCTAAGAGATGAAGTGAGAAATGCATTCATATTTTATCAAAAAGGGTACTCACCAAAAGTTTAGCATAAGCCCCCTTACCCCCAGATGGAGGTTTAGGGGTATTGCCATGTTTTCTGTTCTGCTCACTCTTGGCAGGCCAGGTAGGGAACATTGAGGGGTCAACTGGTTGGGGAGATTCCTTGAAGAATTCATGCTTCAAGGCATCTTGAGCTTTTATTCTCTTCTTCGGATCATAAGTCAAAAATCTGAAAAATATGTACATTAAACATCATCAGGTAGTGTAGAATTTGTCTACACAAAGATGGCAGCACCACCTTAATAATTCAGCCTACAAAATAAAATAGAAATAAATTCTTATGGAGCAAACATAAAGTAGAATAAATTAAATCTTCTTTCTTATGATACAAATCGCACACCAGCAAGAGGGTAATTCCATATCCTAATCAAAAATCTCTCATGAAAAAGTTTCTATAGTTCGCCTCTAAGTGTCTACTGCTCTCCATATTCAGCAGTATTTATATTGAACCAGCCATAATATATAATAAATATACAGGGTGGTCCAAAAAGTGAACTGTTGCAACAGGCTATATTTCCCTTATTACTTGCAGGAATCCTTTCATATTTTCACATGTTGTAGAGGAGGTCTAAAATATTTGTTGGTACCATACATTTTTCGTAGTCTTGAAATTTGCAGAAATTATAAGCCCTAACCAAACATCACTGAAAATCCATAAAATGGAACTTCAACATTTGCGATTCGTCAAGCCTTCAACAATCTTCCAGTGGGAATCTTTTTAGCCTCAGTCTGTGAAACACATAATGTTTTCTGACTTTGTTTGATTTTGTATCCTGCACATTATAGTGTAAAAATTAACACCCTGCCTCAGTAAGTTGCAAAGTTATTTTGATCCAAAGAAATGGTCTTAATCATGGACCAATTCTAATGAAATATGGCTCAAAATACTTAAATTAGATTTCCGTTTGATTTTTGTAAGATATTTATATGAATGCCTTCTCAGATTTGAGGCACAGGGGGTAACTTTGCCCCGCTCGAACCGTTTGTGTAGGTAACATGCCCCATAACTGTTGAATGGTTAAAACTGCTTCAAAATGGTCAATAATATTGTGAAATGTGTTTTCTGCCCAAATAATGACCCATTTGTCATATGGTATGGCTTAAACTTATATCTCTCACTGCAAGCTTTTTTAAGATCATCCAATGTGTTTTAACAATTTCTGTGAATAACATAGGTAAAATTTTGCACAATATCTAATTTTAGGCATGTCTTGTAAAGTTTTGTAATTTCTACAAAATTCAAAATTGAGAATACATTATGGAATCAACAAAAATTTTAGACCTTTCTCTACAAGATATGATAATATGAGCATATTCATGCATGTATTAAGGAAATTATAGCCTGGTGCAGGGGTTCACTTTTTTGGACCACCCTGTATACTGTAATGACGTAGTCACTGTGACCTTCAAACTGAAATACAATACCACTGATAAAAACACATAAAATAGGTTGAATTGAACTACCAAAGAATGCACAAAAAGAAGGTAAAGAAGTGAACTGGTTTAAACATGACTAAAATGTATTTCTTTCTAATGATCCAATTTTTTGAATTCTGCAATGGAGCAAACATTCTAATAGCTCCCCTGGACGTAGGATACACCAGTTGTGTGTCAAACATAATCAAATTGGGAGATATTCTCCAGCAAAGAGGACATAAAATAAACTTCCTGTTTAGCAGTGAACTACATAGCATGAAACTGTTCAACATAGCTGGAAAGAATATGGCTGTCACTGTAAACAGATTCAATGTGATTACATACAAGGAACCGCAAGGAGATCCTGATAAAGCACAGTCAACAGATAACACGGATTGGGTGAACTCATTCATTGGTTTATCATGGCCAGATGTAGTTAGGCTGATTTGGCCGCATATGTATCCAGAAGCTTTAAATAATGTCATTCGAGATATGGACACTTGGAAAAAATTGTCTGAGCAATCATTTGATGTGATCATTGCTGATGCTAACAATTACTTTGGCAGGGTTCTAGGTGGCCACTTCAATGTTCCAGTTATTGTATATTCTAACTGGGGACCAATGGCACATGATTTCATATACCCTATCAACCCATCATATATACCAACAGACTTGACAAACTCTCATTTAAGTGATAAAATGCATATATTGGAATGATTATCTAACACATGGGAATTCCTTCGTTTTCAATACTATGCAGCTGCAGCGCAAGAAAAGGTGAAACAAGTTTGCCTAAACTATAAACACTTCATTATCCTGCCCCATTCATGCCCCACATAATATCTGTGGAAGGTTTCTTTCTGGACAAAGCTGAACCTCTGAGTGGAATATTTAAGCACATTGTTGAAAAAGCTAACGACCATGGCGTCATTGTTGCAAGCTTTGGATCATTGTTTCCTAATTTACCAACGGAAATGGCAGAAGTTTTCGCAGAAGCATTTGCTAGCATGAAACAAACAGTTATCTGGAGTTACGAAGGGCCGAAACCGAAACAGCTTGGGGATAATACATTCATCAGCGAATGGATCCCACAGAGAGATTTATTGGCACACAGTAAGGTGAAACTGTTTGTGCAACACTGGTGTATCAGCAACATTTGAAGCCCTCGACAGTGCAGTCCCAAGTGTTGGCATCCCATTTATAGTTGATCAATTATACAACTGTGAAAAACTAGCCAATCGTGTTGGTTCGCTCAAGACCATAAATCTAAGGGATTTAACAAGCAAACTGCTTCAATCAGCGATGACAGAGGTACTGTATAACACCACATATGAGGAAAATGCAAAGAAAGCTGCTGCTATATATCACAGCCAGCCTATTAGCCCAAAGGACAAGGTTGCCTATTGGGTTGATTATGTTATACGTCATGAGGAGCATCCCACCTGCATTCACAGGGCGCAAACAACCTGAACATATTTCAATATTTGTTGCTGGATGTTATAGGACTATTTGTGGTTCTCTCATGTGCCATCAGTGGAGTTATCATTTTCTTCATAAAGTTCATCATGAAGAAGTTCATCCATTCTTCCTCCAAAAAATTAAAGCAGAGTAACAGTTTACAATCATTTAACCATGAACTGGTCATTGATCCAAGGGAATAATGTGAATTATTCAGGAATTACAGAAGAAAGTTTGGAACTAAAAGAGAAAACATTCAGAGAACAAAAAATCAACATTTGAAAGGAAATGCATCATGAAATGAAATTCAATAACAATTAACATTTGGACACAATACTTTACTATTACAGTAGTTATGTTTGCTTATTTCAATTTGCTAAAAGTAATTTTTTATTTTCAGTTTGAGACACTAACACAATTTTGATATAATACACGTATCAAAAACTAATAAAATGGGTTTAGTGCTTCAAGCAGTTAAAACAATATAGTATAAATAAAAAATGTATGTACACACAATTACATTATGGATCATCATGCTTCATAAACATGACATACATAAAATGTACATATATTATACAGAACCTAAATATAACTTCATTTATTGCATTTTATTTGTTACCTTTTACTGGGACCTTTCTGGCATGAAAATGATTAATGTGAATTAAAAAACAGCAACTCCAAGGAGTAGAAAAATAAAACATCTCCTTGAACAAAGATCCTATTATTATATGCCCATAAGGTTCAAAACATAACATCTAATCCGATATCTGGTTTTTGAAATGATACTTTTAACAAAACATTAGAAGCTACTTTGAATGAAATCTGTTGACCAAAAATTGAGTTATCCCTGACACACATGGAAGGACAGATGGCTTCTCTATAATTTATTTATAATTTGACTCATGATTAAGCAAAAAACTTTAAATGTGAAGAGTGTTAATCCAAACAATGGAGAAAGTAAATTGATATTTTATATATTTCAAAAGCTATTAATTGCATTTTTCATACAAACCCTCCTATCACAATAAGAATTTGAAAAAAATGAATCCCTGAAATGGTTTGACTGGGAACCTTTGAACAAGACTTGCCCAACCACCTCCCCACCCACCTAATATAGACCCACCTAAACTGATCACAATACAGACCCACCTAAACTGATCACAATATAGATCCACCTAAACTGATTACAATACAGAACCCATGGATGCGATAAAGTTCTTACTTGTTTACAAGCTCAAATCCTTTCTCAGTGAGGTAAGAGCCAAATCTGTTCCTTAGAGTATTGTACGGATATTCTGCAAATGTGCATTTTTTCATGGTTGGAAGATCACCAACACCTGGCCAAATCTTTTCATTAGGAGTTCCTAAGTCCTACAAATAGATAATATGCGAGTGTTATTGAAGTTATACAATGACAAATAAAATACATATTGTGCCAATTTTAATAAGTATACAACAGATTCTTTATTACTGCACGTGGCACAATATATTAACATGGCATGATATATTGTACTAAATTATTTTGTTGCTCCTTTAAGATTCAAACTAAATTAAGGTGAAGAAAAGATGTAGATATTCTATATATAGGATATGGTTATGTTTTTGCAGAATACATTAAGGTTAGCAAAATCAAGATATTGTTTTGAATTATTTCATTTTTGAAGATGTATGAGGGAATGAGGTTTTTTATTCTTACTATTCATAAAATTTGGCAAATTTTACATCTCTGTCAAAAAAGGTGAAATACGCTGTAAGAACCCATGAAGCTTATTTTCTGAAATAGCTTAAAATAGACGAGTAAGGGAACGCTGAGCTACCATTGAAATATATAATAATCAAATGCTTACTTTAAATATTCTATTGAGTTCATCAATCTCTGACTTGCCAGGGAACAGTGGTTTCATAGTGAGAAACTCTGCAAATATACAGCCTACACTCCACACATCAATGGCAGTATCATATTGCTTTGTCCCTAGAAGCAGCTCAGGGGCCCTGTACCATAGTGTTACAACTATGGGGGTATACGGCTTCAGAGGGGACCCATATTCACGGGCAAGGCCAAAGTCTCCAACTTTCAGGATACCTTTATGGCTAAGTAAGAGATTTGATGTCTTCAGATCTCTATGGAGGATCCAGTTGTCATGGAGATGGTTGACTGCACGTAGCAACTGCAGCATCAGGGTTTTAACTTCACCTGCAATATTCAATGCTAGGTTAGAATTTCTAATCTTGCGACAATCATAAATCAAAAGTCAACCATTATTGAATTGTTGAATAGTCAGATATACACCCTCAAAAAATACACACCACATGTTCTCTTATAACTAATGATATGGACTATCTATACATTATTTGAACACCTTTGTAATCTGAACAACTCTCAATGTGAACACCTTTTCTCAGTCCCAACTATGTCTCCCATTGACTCACTTTGAAATGTGAACGATGGATAATCTGAACACTTTCTGACAAGTCCTTGTGGCATTTTGATAAAACAGATTTTACTGTTTCTTGATATTCTCCCATTAAACTACACGGATAGTACTATGAACACATCCGCATATGTGTATAAACAATACAATATTCACTTACCAACAAGGAATGGTTGCTTCATTGACTCCATAAGACTCTTGAGATCATGTTCTACATAGTCCATTACTATATAGATCTTGTCCATATTGCTTCCTACCACTATTTCCTGAAAGAATTACATCACTGTTAATGTTAAAAGGAATTACATTACTACAGTAATTTATAGTTTTTACATCAAAATGTTGAGTATTTTTCAAAAGGTTCACAAATAGAACAAGGCACAGACGTGAACAATATCGTACCTAAAACACAGCATTGTGGTCTTGTTGACCAAGAAAGCAAGATGGCCGCAGAAAAGTTAATCAGCTCTAGAACTTATCACTGTGTAACATATGTAAAAATTTGAACGGTTTGGCTGGAAACCTGTAGACAAGTCTACAGTGAAGTCTCAAAGTGAAGATTTTAGGACGGAAAATCCAAAATGGCCACCTTAAAATTTACCCAGAATGCCCAAAAACCAATCAGTTCTTGACGTTGATATGTAGAAACATCCCTGAAAATTTCAGATGAATCCCTCAAATGGTTTGGCTGGAAACCTGTAGCCAAGTCTTGAAAGTGAAGATTTTAGGACGGAAAATCCAAAATGGCCACCTTAAAATTTACCCAGAATGCCCAAAAACCAATCAGTTCTTGACGTTGATATGTAGAAACATCCCTGAAAATTTCAGATGAATCCCTCAAATGGTTTGGCTGAAATTCTGTAGACAAGTCTTGAAAGTGAAGATTTTAGGACGGAAAATCCAAAATGGCCACCTTAAAATTTACTCACAATGGCCAAAAACTAATCAGTTCTTGACATTGATACGTAGAAACATCCCTGAAAATTTCAGATGAATCCCTCAAATGGTTTGGCTGGAAACCTGTAGACAAGTCTTGAAAGTGAAGCTTTTAGAACGGAAAATCCAAAATGGCCACCTTAAGATTTACCCAGAATGCCCAAAAACTAATCAGTTCTTGATGTTGATATGTAGAAACATCCCTGAAAATTTCAGATGAATCCCTCAAATGGTTTGGCTGAAAACCTGTAGACAAGTCTTGAAAGTGAAGATTTTAGGATGGAAAATCCAAAATGGCCACCTTAAAATTTACCCAGAATGCCCCAAAACTTATCAGTTCTTGACGTTGATATGTAGAAACATCCCTGAAAATTTCAGATGAATCCCTCAAATGGTTTGGCTGGAAACCTGTAGACAAGTCTTGAAAGTGAAGATTTTAGGACGGAAAATCCAAAATGGCCACCTTAAGATTTACCCAGAATGCCCAAAAACTAATTAGTTCTTGACATTGATATGTAGAAACATCCCTGAAAATTTCAGATGAATCCCTGAAATGATTTGGCTGGAAACCTGTAGACAGGCTGAAAAGTGAGACGCCGCCCGCCCGCCGCCCGTCAAGCTGACTACAATATCGTACCTCTTGTTAGGTACGATAAAAATTGTCTTAAAATCACTTCTCATATGCAAATACATGCGATACGAGAATAATGAGCTTGTGTGATGGCAGGCCCGTATCCAGCTTTTTCCAAGGGGGTTCACATTTCAAAAAATTCCAGGGGGTTCACATTGAACAACTTTGGCCCAAATTCACTTGAAAAATGTTCAGAATGGTGAAAAACTGCATGATTTTGAAAGGATTTTTGATGCTTGAACCCCTGAAATCTCCCTTTCCAAGGACCTTGATGCCAAAAGCCTTCACACTGGGTGCAAAATATGATGCATGGGACACTGAAATAATCAAATGCTGTACAAACAAAACCACTACACATCCAGCATTAGGTTGTAACTTACACGGACAGTGACAATGTTCTCATGTTGCCCCTTGAGAATTGTACTGATCTCTCTCAGAGAAGTGATAGGAAATCCCTCCTTCTCTTTCTCCATCTTCAGTCTTTTCAGAGCAACTATCTCATCTGAAAGAAGGGACAATCATTGAACAGACCAACATAAAATAAGTTGCATTTTTCTGTATTTCCTTTTCTAATTTTCATTACTATTTTTTATAAATACATGTACAGTAAAACCTGTTTTTGTGTTACACCTTCACCAAGTGGAACAGTTTTAGATACTGTATACCAAGGGTGTTCCTCTTATTCAGATTTTACAGTAATTGTATAACTATACAGTCCTCAATTTGCAACATGAAGAAAGATCAAATCTTAACTGTACTGATCTACAGGTAATTTCAGTACAATATTATAACATTTTAAGAATCTCACTGATGCAATAATTGTATTTAGGAAAATTGAGTAAAAAGATCATCCATCAAAAAATGATTTAGCATAATTTCAACTCACTTGTTTTCTTGTCTCTGGCCCTATATACAACACCATAGGTACCCTCCTCGATCCTGTTGAGACAGTGAAATTCCTCCACACTCCTGCAGCCCTGGATAGCTGGGAAATATGGCGGTAATTCTGGCTTCAGCTCAATGGGGGATTGTGGGGGAGTATCATCCAGATAGTGTCCCTGAGGCTCGGGGGAATGTTCTTCCTCTGAGGCTTCCTCCTCTGATTGATCTTCAAACTTGGACTTCACTGGAAAGTTAAGTATGATTGCAAGATGTGTTCCTCTCGTTTTATTATGACGCGATTTTCTATGATGCTCAATCATGGAGTTGAAGAAAAGAACTGGAAACTCTGGCATGACATAAATCTAGTGTTTCCAGAAATATATTTTCAATTTCTCATGGGGAGTCATTTAATTCCAATCAAGTAGAGAAAATGGAGCTTTCAAAGAATAGAAGGGACTTGAAATGTATGTCAGAGTTTGCCTTCCTAAATTGGAATTTTGGAATCTCAAACCTATATATGATATGAATGATCACCCGAAAACCCGCCTTTTGTGTCAGTCGTAACAGAAATGCGAAATAATAAATTTTGTGATAATTGATATGAAATAATGATAATACTCTAAAATACCTGGTGCTTTCTGTTCATCCTCCTCCCCACTCTCTGAGCCGCTCTCACTCTCTGTAAGTGAATACATAAGAAGTACAGAAGAATGATTCTCAAAGATATTCTAGATCAAGTTCTAGGTTTCTAACCCTCTTCTTGTTGCTCATTTCAACTGTTTTTCACAGTGAACCTTGACTGAAGTAGGGCAATTGGATTTTAAATTTATTAATGGGTCTCATTATACTTATGTCTAGATATACACTGGAGTTACACGATATATAAAGACTGGAGTATTGAAATTTTATATTGGTATGTTCAGCGATCTTCCCATCAATGAAGAAAGATGACACCACCCAGTTGGTAATTTATAATGAATCCTTACCCAGTCGAATATACAATCTCCTTATGTTTTTACAAGACACACATTGATAAATATCTCCCTTTTGTTTGAGTCAAAACACACAGACACATACACACCAAATGGCACAAGATTACAACAATATGGCACATTGAAAAAGTGTGATAATAATCAACCTGAGTCAGAATCCGAATCTTCTGAATTGGTGTCTCCACTTTCTTCCTCTGAAGCAGATTCAGCATTCTGATCTTCACTTTCTGCCTCACTGGACTCAACCTCTTCTTCCACCTCAGGAGACTCTTCCTTGTAAATAGGCTCTGGAGGGGCCTTGCTTCTTCCAGCTATTTTAATATTGTTTTCTTTTATTATCATAATTCTATTTCAATATTAATGACACTTTCACAAACAATGAACAATCACTATCAATGTACAGTTAAAACCAACAGTTTTATCATAAAAATCTATTTTGTTTTGTATGTATATTTCAACACTTGGCTATATTTTCATGATGAGCATTTTATACTAAGCCCCACTTTGACACTCCATTTCCTCAGAGGTGCGATAATCTGTTAAGTGATATTACATTTGATAGACAGGATATTACTAACATAATAAATAATCTTGACCCTTCCAAGGCCAATGGCCCTGATGAAATTACCATCAAAATGCTCCAAATATGCTCAAATTCAATTTCATTTCCTCTCTACATTTTATTCAATAAACTTTTACAGGCAAACACTTTTCCTCAAATTTGGAAACTTGGGAATGTTTGCCCTATACATAAAAAAGATAGCAAAAATAATCTTAACAATTACAGACCTATCTCTCTCCTTAGCATTGTTTCCAAAATCATTGAAAGGATAGTCTATGATAAAATGTACAAGCACCTTATTGAAAACAATCTACTTTACAAATATCAATCCGGATTTTTGAAGGGTCATTGCAATGAAATCCAACTTCTAGCGATTCATGATTTTATTTGGACAAATTTTAGTAATGGCTTCGATACTAGGTCGGTCTTTTTGGACATTTCGGCCGCTTTTGATAGGGTACCACACCATCTGTTAATACATAAGCTGAAAGCATATGGCTTTTCAGGAAAGCTCTTGAATTTTATTATTTCATACCTCTCAAATAGAAAAATAAAGGTCACAGTAAATGGTAAATCATCTCAAACATCCCCGGACAACTATATAAACTGCAGTGTCCCTCAAGGAAGTATCCTTGGGCCGCTCCTCTTCCTTATATACATTAATGACCTGCCTGATACTTTATCTTCAAAATGCTTCATATACGCCGATGACACGTCAATATTTTTGCCAACAAGCCCAAATGACAACCTATCTCATATTCAACTTCAAAATGATATTCAAAAGGTAGAAAATTGGTCTGACATCTGGAAACTTGAATTTAAGCCAGAAAAAAGCAAAGAGTTGATTTTTTCTAAAAATAATAATGCAAATAATTATCCTCCAATTATGTTAAATGGCCACGCAATCACAAGAACTGACACCCACAAACATCTTGGCTACTACTTTGACAATAAGCTATGTGGATCAGTTCACATCAACTATTTAGCCTCTAAGATCCAGACAGCACTTAATCCAATGAAAGCTCTGAAAGGAAGACTTAAGTCCAAACATCTCAATATCATGTATAATGCCTATATCCAGTCACTCTTTGACTACTGTGATGTTCTATATGATGGTGCAAACCAAATTGACCTAAAAAAGCTTAGTAGTTTACAGTACCAAGCTGGTCTAATTGTGTCTGGAGCTCTGTCAGGATCAAGTGCCTGTAAAGTATTCAAAATTTTAAACTGGTCTTGCTTACTTGATCGTAGAAATTTTCATTTTAAGAGTCTTATGTATAAAGTCGACAATGCCCTCATTCCATCATATATAACAGACATATTCATTCCTTATAAAAGAGTCAATATTAGAAATACGCGTTTTAACAGAGACTATATCATGCCTATTAATTATCCCAGAAAATCACCAATATACAAGATGGTCGAGATATGGAACAATGTACAACGTGATCAGCCTTATCTGAAGTCCCTTCCTTCATTGGCCTCCTTTAAAAGGAGACTAAAAATCGAAATGTTCCCTGGGATTATATCTACTGTGTCCCTTAATATTCTAAATCGCAGGCAAGAGATGTACCTCAACAGAGCCAGAGTCGACCTTATTTTGAAGACCCAATTGATATCTCACAACTGGAATAATGTTGACTCCCCAAACTGTGAGTGTGGGTCCCCTGAGACCTTTAGACATTTATTTTTTAGCTGCCCCATGAGAATGAATAAACTCCATCAATTCAATGAAGCCATTAAGTTAATTGTGGATGATATATCACGTTATAAAACCCAACAGGATAAAATTGATTTATATCTCTTTGGTGATCCCGAACTCACCCATGATAAATTAGACAAACTATTTCAGTTGACAGCAACATTTCTTTTAGAAAACTGTTAATGGTTGTGCACGGTTGTACATAATCTGACTACCTTAGACCCCACTTACTCAACCCCTATGTGTAATTGGTCGCCCCATCTATGTTGCAGCAGGTCCCCGTCAGTACACTTCATTTATAACATGCCACATCTAAACAGTGGGTGTGTTTTATTTTTCTTGAATTTTTCGTATATTTATATGTAACATTGTAATTGAAAGCGGACATAAAATGCCAGAAGGCGATTTGCCGCATGATTGTGTACTATGCCATGAAAAATATATCAATGAAATAAACCTATTGTTTAAAAAAACAAAAAAAAAAAACAGTCATGACGCAGTCTATCCCTGGCATGCGGTGGATTCTCACAAGTCTCGAGGAAATGGCTACATGGTCCCGTATGCAGTTTAAGCCCAAGAAATCACGCAGCATGACCATCGTCAAAGGACAACTGACCCAAAGACACACTTTCAACATCCAAGGAGCAGCTATCCCATCCATCCAAGATGAACGTATAAAGTGCTTAGGGAAAGTCTATGACGAGACTTTAAAGGATAGCAACACCACTAAGGAAGTCTTCAAGGAACTAGAAAGATGGATGGAAACTATTAACAAGAGTCACCTCCTAGGTAAATTCAAGGTATGGTGTTTCCAGTTTGGAGTAATCCCCCGATTACAATGGCCTTTCTCCTTGTATGAATTCCCTCTATCCCTTGTCAATTCCATGGAAAGGTTGTGCAACAGATTTTTGAGGAAATGGTTAGGAGTACCTCCAAGCTTCAGCTCCTGTAACCTTTACAGCACATCTTCAAAGTTGTCCCTCCCAATTTCTTCACTGGTGGAGGAATTTAAGGTGGCCAAAGTCAGGGCCATTACAACCCTTCGGACGTCCAAGGATCCCAAGGTCCTTTCCTCAGGAGAATCAATATCAACTGGAAGGAAATGGAAACCTCAGCAAGCAATAGCAGAAGCAGACGAACGGGAGCGACATGAGCAGATAGTTGGAGTTGTTTGCCAAGGTCGATTAGGCTTAGGCAATTATGGTTCCAAGCTATTAGAAAAGACTCCAAAAGCAAAGAAAGACCGCCTGGTAAAGCAAACGCGCAAAGCGCAGGAAGAAGAACGCCTTGTAAAAGCAGTGGGGCTCTCCAAGCAGGGAAACTGGACCCAATGGGAATCAATCATGGAAAGATCTCCTACATGGAAAGATCTTTGGACAGTTGACCAAGCAAGCCTCAGCTTTATATTGCGCGCCTTTACTGACCTTTTACCAACTCCAACGAACCTAAGCACTTGGGGCCTTGAAAATGACAACACATGCCCTCTATGCAAAAGACCCAGATGTACCCTAACCCACATCCTGAGCAGCTGCCAGACAGCACTGAGTGAAGGCCGGTACAGATGGCGACACGACAAAGTCCTACAGAAAATTGCTGAATGGGTCGACAGAGCTAGAACACACAACAAGCAACTCGTCCCCACAAAGCCCATATTCACAGCATTTCAACAGGAGGGAAAGCAACCAACTCCAAGGACTAAGAATACAGACCCATCAATTCCTCTCTCGTCACTGTCTAAGGCCTCTGATTGGAAATTGCATGTCGACCTGGATAAGAAGTTAATCTTTCCTCAGAACATAGTAGCAACAACACTACGTCCTGACATGCTACTTTTATCAGAAAGTTCTAAGACCATACTAGTGATAGAACTTACAGTACCATGGGAGGAAAGAATAGACATATCCCACCAACTCAAGTACAACAAATACCAAGATCTAATCCATGAAGCCCAGAGCAAAGGATGGCAAGCAAGACTATACCCTGTAGAAGTAGGATGCAGGGGCTTCCCAGCTTTGTCTCTACGCTCATTGTTCAAAGACATTGGGGTACATTCTAGCCAACTCAGACGAGCAATGAGAGAAATTGGAGCAGTTTCAGAATCGTGCTCCAGGTGGCTCTGGATAAGAAGACGTGACAAATGGACCCACCAATAAAACGAAGAAGTTTTCCATCATTCTTCAACCACCAAATGAAATGTCCCAAAGCTTCAGTCTCTGGAATGGGAGTGTTGGTACCATCAAAGATCTTAAACCAGCCAAAGGTCAGTCACAAGCCTGACGACAGAGACAGCCAAGCTTATACTACCCAAAGCTCCATCCCAATCATCAGCTCACGAACAGTCCTATAGATGTAGCAAAGCACTTGATGTTTATACACAAAAAAAAATTGTTTAATTCTTGAATGTGAGTTCTGAAGAGAGGGTCGACATTCTCTTGTTTTGCATTATCTATGCTTTTAGAATAATGTCAAGTTTTGATATATATCTATCGTATCACCACATACAGTCCTAAATTTGTCAAAGTAAACGAATAACAGCATATGTTCAATAAATGCTGTAATATTAGCTGCTCACTTACTGAGGGAAGGCCAAGTGGCTGATTCACAAGGACTACTAGACTCACTTAAATCATGACAAGTGAAGAGGAAAATCCAAATTATTTCAATCTTTTACCTATCAGAGAATACACTTACAATTATTTTGAGGGGTGGATCTTCGGCTACTTGGTCGGTCTGGATCTCGATCACGCATCTGGTCCCGTTGATCACGTAACTGACCTCTTTCTCTATCTCGATCCCTGGCACTCTGATCTCTTTCTCTTATCTGATCCCGATCCCTGCCTCTATCTCGATCTCCCCTGTCTCGAGTATCCCTAGTGCGTGTGTCACGTTCTCTACTCCTGCTACGTTCAACTTCAGATCGGTCTTTCTGTTTTCTACTATTGTCTCTGGCTTCTCTTGCACGCCTCAGTTCTTCTTCTAAATTATAGAATACATTGATAAAGATACATGGTTCTGACAGAAGTGTGATACTATATTGACAGAGAGAGCAACACCCAGTGAAACCTATATGAAGCGAATTGAACATGGAGATTTATTGTGATGGAAACTACTCCTTTCACAATTGTATATTATTAACATGTCTGATACTGACCATACATTAGTGCCATTGATGAAGGTATTGTAACAAAAAGCTACTTACTTTCTTTCTTAATGGCAGCATCTTTAGCAGATTTCTCAGCCCTTGCTCTCAGCTCCTCTTCTTGTTGCCTTTTCTCTCGTTGAGCTCTCATTAACCTATCCCTCATCTGCTTCTCTCGCTCTATACGCTCAAGCCGCTCTCTAATTAAAACAGAGAAATGACGGTAAATTATTTCTTTTGCGATAGCAAGCGGCAAGCTTAATCATCTTGATTCAAATAGTTTGTTATTGGATAATTAAAGGTGCACTGTTCTGCATATGGGGGATGATGGAGAATATGAAGTTAATCTACCCTTGGTATAAAATTAAGCTACCTATAATAGACCACCAGACAAGTATAGCATAACTGGGGCAGTACCAATAGTTCTTTTTGAATTTAAATCAAACACAAAATTTGCTGACACACCCTTTCTTAAGTTATTTCAAGATATATGTCCAAAATTGTGTTATTTTTGAGGTATTGATATTTTAAAACCATGACTTGAAGCAGTAACTGGTCCTTTGGGGAACAAAAAATAATATTTTAATAAACAGATGTATAAGCATAGATTGTTGATTAATGGAGACACATCAAGTTATCCATATTGCATACATACCTTTCTCTCCTAGATTCTTCCCGTTTTTCCTTTTCAGTCTGTGGTTTTGGTTCACTATGTTTTTCCTGAGTAATATCTACAATATCTGGCTCTTGTCTGTGTCTTGATTTTGTTTTTATATCAACTGTCTTATTATCATCAACCTTTACTGCTCTCTTGGATGAGTCAGACTTGAGTTTCTCTTTATCCCTTGATTCCTTAGATCTAGCCTCTAATTTTTCTCTTAAGTCTCTTTCTTTTGTAGGTTTAACTGATTCTGTTTTCTCTTTGGAGGGTCTTCTCTCAGACCTTTCAACAGGTACTTTTTCTATGATACGTTCAGGTTTAGTTTCCCTACTATGAGGGCGATTGTCTTTGTCTCTTATACGATCTTCTCGTCGTTTTTCATCTCTAGAGTGCTCCTTTTTGTCACGGGATTTCTCGCCACTTCTGTCTCTACGATGTTCTTTGCCATGGCGATCTTGTCTGCTTCCTCGACTTCTATCTCTGTGTTTACCTGAAACAATTAGAAAATGTTCGTAATCTAAATCATATTTAAATCATTCATTAAAATCATGTTAACATAGATGATGATATTAGAATTACAATATTGCTGATTAGAAGTCCAGACTTTCTTCTATATTCTTACCTTGATTTTTTTTTTTTATTATTATTATTTATTTATTTCATTGATATAGTTTAAAATACAATTACAATAGCATCCCTAAATCGCCAGAGGGCATTATATAGGAATGGTGAGAGGCTGGGGGTGGCAGGCAGACAGGGTCTTACCTTGATCCTTGTCTCTATCTTTCTTTCTATGTTCCTTATGCTTGTGTTTGTGTTTGTCTTTCTTTATCACCTTTGCTTGTGGTGGCTTGATATATAAGGCTTCTTCTTGTTCCTCTCTAGAATACAAGACAAATACAGTTGAAATGGTAACCTTCAAGTTGGGCAGATAATATAACATTGATATAAACTTAGACCTATCACATGGCATTGGCATTTGCATTGGGACATTATCTGTACCGCAAACAGGTTCACTTTTTAATCATTGTGGATCTTTATTTTGCGACACATGTGTAATGTTCCTTTTCTTTCCAAATAAATAAACAGCACAGCAATGAAGTCATGGAAGTAAAGGCTATCTAGGATATTAAAGGGATTGAGTACAAGAACAAATTTAATTCTGTTGGGAGGAATGGCTGATAATAATGATTTTGTTAAATTAATATGAAAATGTAAATAGATCAATATTTCAAAGTTTCATCACAATTGGAGGGAGGGGGTTTAACCAAAACAAAGTTTTTATATGTATGTTAGTTTGAATATAGACAAATGGTTACCATCCACTGTCCTATCTCAAGACAATAACAAGAATCAACATGTTAAGATAAATTATTATGTTCTACTTGCCTGTCTTCCATGACATCATCCTCTTGCTGGGTTTCTGTGTGGTCGGGGCTTGGTTCTAACTCCCCATGCTCCATGGGGCTTCCAACCTCTTCACTTCCCGACATAGTACACTCTAAAATATAAAACATAGACAATCATTTGCAACATAAGTGCTATTGCAGTTTTGGAGTTTTAAACTGAGCAAACTGTCAATTCTCTAGCAAATCTCACATTTAGTGGTAAATTCTGACACACCCCTCAAACGAACAGCCAATCATTCAAGTTAGAGTTACCTCAAGGTTTTCAATCAGTAATGAACATGTGGAGCAATGTAATGATTTCTATGTTGTGATTATAAAATTTATGAATCCAAATTATGAAAAAAAGAATCTGCAAAAACTGCATACCTTCTCCACTTAACTCCCCAAGTGTGGGACACCTGGGTGTATTTTAGCAATTTGGAGTTTGGACTGTACCCTACTTTCAATTTTCAAATGACTGATGATGTCGTATAGATTCTAAAGTGAGTTATTTAATTTAGACGAGTAACCTTGGACAATGTCTAGCTGAAGCCAATATCATCTGAAATTCAATTCAACTTTTCTCAAGTCAAGAAACATAGGCCCGGGAATATATATTAAAAAATTTAGTTGAGTCCCCTAAGAAAAAAGATTAAATGGACATCAGCAAAAAAATTCTTATAGGGTTTGTTCTACTAATTTTCAGTTTTGTTTAGTAACCGATCATCAGCTAGAATCTTCAAAAGGCCATCTACAGGGTGGGCCAAAAAAAACCACCCCCCTAGCCAATATTTCTGATAAATATTCAATTCTTAACATGCACACCAATAATGATATATCATTTTAAAGATGATTTAATTTGCAACAAAATGATATATAATAGAACAATTTTCAACAACTCTGGCTCGAGATATAACCATTTATGTGACATGGGGGTCAAAAAACACCTTTTCAATTTTCGTCGATTTTGCGAACAATTGCCTATTTCTACCAAATTTTAGTAAATTACAACATTGTCAAGAGTCTTTCATAATTCGATATTATATATTGTTTTCATTCAGTTTTTTAAACCTTGCATGCTCAATAAACATGTGTATGCTTATAAAACTAATTCATTTTTTCTTCAGTCTGTCCAAATATGGCTCAATAGACTCACCCCCGGACCCAACTTCTGATTTGATTTCTCGCTTAAAACGCGAAAGCCATTGGTATAATCGATGGACCTCTGCAGAAGTACCATCCAACACCTAATTATTCATTCTTTCTGTTTGTCTACACCCCTGATGGGCTAGGGATCTCCATAGGACAACTGTTCTAAATGCCCCAAGTACTATACATGTAATCAAAAGGCTATACTCTATATCAGTAAGCAAGAATAGTGACATTTGTGATAAAAGGCTACTCAAATCGAGATGACATTTTTCTGAAAGGTAGGTGGTGTCCACTCGGTGTTTCCCAAAAAGGAAAGATCATGCAGGCCCTGTTTTTTGAACCAGGAGCAAAATTATACTCTGAATGTTAATGACATAAGGTGGTAAAAAGGACTCGTTAAGAATATAAAAAAACGGTGAGAGAAATTTCATTTTCTGATAGAACAGTGCTCTATCACACAGGTCCAATGCTACCCTGGAGTTTTTGGAGATTCGAAATGTCACCATCTCTAGCCCAGAAAAATGGCTTACTGGCAGTCCAGTTGCCAATAATGTTGATTACCATACCTGGGGACAATTAGAACAGTTGGTTTTTAAATATACCCAGCCTATCAGGGATGTAGAGGAACTAAAAGAAAGAATAACTATCAGTTGAATGGTACTTCCACATACATCCATCAATTATGCAATCAACCAATGGCTTCCGTGTCTTAAGCGAATAATCCAATCAGAGGATGGGTCCGGGGGGTGGGTCTATTGAGCTATTTTTGGACAGACTGAAGAAGAAATGAATTAGTTTTATAAGCATATACATGTATATTGAGCATGTGTGGTTCAAAAACTGAATGAAAACAATATATAATATCCAATTATGAAAGACTCATGACAATGTTGTAATTTACTAAAATTTGGTAGAAATAGGCAATTGTTTGCAAAATCGACGAAAATTGAAAAGGTGTTTTTTGACCCCCATGTCACATAAATGGTCATATTTCTATATGTGGTTGTTGAAAATGGTGCTATTATATATCATTTTGTTGCAAATTAAATTATCTTTAATATGATATATCATTGTTGGTGTGATTGTTAAAAAATAAATATTTATCAGGAATATTGGTTAGGGGGGTGGTTTTTTTTGGCCCACCCTGTAGTTTGGTAAATTACATAAATATTGCCCATTCTTCCCTTTGATCAAAGCTATATAAACAATCAAGTGGTGCAAGCTTCATTTGATTACTACATGCAAAAGCTTGAAAATATTTTCAGGTTGAATGAATATATCAGAACAATTGAAAGAGTTTTCTGTCTGTTCGGAAATATAGTGCAACACGTCCCAGCATAGGGGAAGTCTGCCATGTCCACCAAATCTACATAGCGCAAATGCCTGTGTGTGTTAAGGAACCTATATGCAGGTGGAAACATTTCGTGATTTTTCCTCACATATAATAATTTCTTTGCCTTGTGATTTAACTGTACACACCACATGTTGTATCTATATTATACATGTTTAACAATCGATCGTCCTATTTTCATCCAATGTCGAAGTATTGCATGTACATGTATACAAGGGAGAGTGATGTATCATTATCATGCACATTGTATTGATGTATACAACGTAGGACATATTATGTCCTATTGTTATCATACTGGTGTGTATTAGGACATCCTTAGTACAATCAGCGTATCTAGAGTATCATCCCCTGCGTTTGGTGGACATGGCGGAACACCCCAGCATTGCACATGTTGAAACTTTTTTCAAATATTAAAGTCTGATTTATTCAATAAAGTGGCCCGGAAGTACCAATAAATGGAGGAATTTGACGGTTGAAATAAGTTAAATATTTCACGCAAATATTGCGTTCAAAAACGAAAATTTCTTCGTTCTGCCGATAAACCCAGACAATTGTGGATTCAACTTCACGAAAAGAATGCTAAAATACCAAGGAATCTATTGAAGTAAGTATCTTAAGTGTAATAGCGTAGAAAAAAGTCTCCCATGTTGTAATCGTACAGGCAAAATATTGAGACGTACTCAGGACTATAGTCCTGGCACGGGATAAACCACGAGACCTTAAGATCTTACTTCGGTCCAAAGCCTTCTCTATATTCCGGCTTTGAGGAGGAAGATTGAGCTGCCTTAGTATTATAAATATTGTAAATCATTGTGTCACACGCACAGTAAATATGGCATAATAATATGAAATATACCTTTATGTATAGATTTGAAGAACATCAGCTCACATCCCAGTCTGAATCTATTGTAATATTTGATTTCTTTTTAAGCGAGAATAATTTCAAATTTTATTCACGTCCAGAACTGGAAGCCATTTTTAGCTACAGCGAGAAAATTTCACCATGTGTTAAACTCCGAAATGAAATTTTGAAATATCTAAATCCAGACAAGCAACGCCTCATCCTAAATATGATTAATATTCTTAAAAATATTTATAAAATTTATCAAAAATGAGTTCTAGGTGCGTGTAGGTGCGTGTAGCACCTTTTCTAGAGTACATACGAAATCAATGAAGTTTCGTCTAGCTGTAAGCTAGAGACTCGAGTAATTAAGATCCACTCATTTTTCGTTCGACAATGTGATGAGACACTTCAATTTTATTTTTGGCTCTAAATGAATATGTCCCTTTGGGCGATTATCGAGTGGATACGATCAACACTGCATCAATTACGAAGCATCTCAGGTATGTAAAACGATGAACAAATGGCTAAATAGTCCAATGAGAGTCTGCGATCTTGGATCATGTTACCAATCCTTATTTGAATTTATTCTAAATTTCGGAAGAAATTTGACTTTAATCCGTGATTAAAACCCTTCAACTGTACAAATCGACGAATCCTCTTTTTCTCAAAAGAAAATTCATAAAGAAAAATAAAACAAACATTTTATTTTCATCAATCTGCAATCGAAACCGTGTTTCACTTCAGTCACAGTTTATAAGTTTATAAGTAATTTTCCGTCCTAGGCAGACATTGCCTGTATGACAGTTCTGATACTTTTTGAAACTAACGTAGCTTGGGGGCTACTTGTACGCCAGCAATTTCGTAATTGAATTTTAAAGGATGGTGATACCAATGTGCATCGAGCAGGTTCTTGAACTGGTTGACATGGACTGACTGCACGACGTACTCTGGGAGACTGTTCCAATTGTTTGTTACCCTGTGGCTGAAAGTTACTCCTGTCGAGAGCTACTTAGATTTTGAAAGTATAGCTCTCTATCGCTAGGATCAACAGCTTAAGAATCCTGACTTCAAAGAAAATTTCAGGGAATTCAGCTGACTCATGTTGCACATTATATACCTGAAAATGTATCCTACATCGCCATCTTTCATTCAGATCAACTATAGAACGTCTCACTGCCCTATGTATCGACCAGGACTTCATTTTATTGGTCGTGTCAAAAGTTTTGGCCAGGTATATTCAATATGGCGGCTTGACGTTTCCCAAGTTGCGCATGCGTCGATAGTATTTCCGTTTAACCGCCATATTGGAAATGGGTATTGAACAAAAAACGATTAGAACTCCTGATCGCCATAGAAGCACATCCGCGATCCTACATGCACGGGGAAAGTAGACACATATGAGCCCATATGTAGGCTACAGTTTGAGACAAACAGCAAGCCGTTGACTGGAGCTGATCAAATTAAGATGTTACAATTCTTCAGCTGGAAGATCCTCACGATGGAGAGCTATACTTTCAAAATCTAACATGGTAGCTCTCGACGTGAGTAAGCTGAAAGCGTTTTGTCTCATTGAGGTTTGAAAATAAAATCAACTAAAATGGCTCAGTTGAGAAAATATTACATAAAATGAATAACCTTACCTATCCCAACAAAATTTTCCTATATATGAGTGTATGGTTGTCGCTTCCCAAAGTCGATTTCAGTTGTTTTACACTACAAACGTAACCATTTCGTTCAAATTTTGTTATTCCGCGAAAGTAGGTCAAAAATGGCTGACCATGTGAATAGTCTCGAAACTATTCTGACTACTCATATATCCTTTCCATTGGGTTATTTCATCATTGCTTACCACTAATTTATGAATTAAACTTATCTAGTATAAATTTTGACTTTTAAAATCGACTTGTCTCCAATCTTTTTGTCGATTAACTTGTAATAAATCACATCAAATATATTTTCGAGAGTAGGAGGCAAACCAGTTTGAAGAAAGTTGAAAATCGCAGCTACTTCCCTGTTTTCTATTTTCGGTATGCGTGGACGTATCTAGTGATTTACCGAAGATAACTGTTGAAGGTAATATTGTTTGTTTCATAAAATTAATTTGGTGTAGTGTACGGAGAGCTATTTACACTGTCCGTTTAGGGTGTTTCATTTTAGGAAAAAGAGTCTGCCATTCACTTGGTGTCTAGCCTACTACTTTTTTCAAGGCCTAACTTCGTCGCTAACATGCTAAATATAAGAGTTAGCTGACGTTTGGGAGTCTGACTTACCTTCTTAAGGTTAGAACCCGAATATTAATGAAACCATATCACCTTTGTTCCGTCAACCATGGAGCATTTGCCACAACATCCAAGAGGTAAATCATGGACCGAGAAAATGAATGATTTCCTTGTAAGTTCCGGAAGTTTCAATACGAAAAATTACCGAACATATATGAAAACCGAATATTTGTTTGTTGTTTTCACGATTTACAGGTTCGTATGTTCTTCAATGTTTTGGTCTAAATTATAAAGCATCACCAACAGGTCTTACTCTATTAATCGACTAATACAGCAGACGGCTCATATTTCTACGTAGGATTTCGTTCACACCAATAGACTAGTGGGACTGTAGATCACGCAGTTTCGTTCGTTGCGTACTTCACTCGAAATTGGTAATTTTATATCGGCTACTTCACTTAGCTTGGCGGATGTAGAACATTGCTCACTATTCTTTTAATTTTCACACCAGACATGCTTGGTTGACACGTCAACAAAGTAAAGTTCAAGGGTCAATGCGTTATTTCGTGATAACTACAACGCCTTCCCGAAAGTCAACATTGATGAAAAATGAAAAAGTCGGAAAAGCATTTACACTAATTTCTATCAAATGCTATGTTTATGCATCATCATCGACGCAACAAAGGTGATATGGTTTCATTAAGATTCGGGTTCTAACCTTTAGAAGGTAAGTCAGACTCCCAAACGTCAGCTAACTCTTATATTTAGCATGTTAGCGACGAAGTCAGGCCTTGAAAAAAGTAGTACAGTGGGGGACAAAAATAAAACTCAACGTTCACAAGTTGTCACAATGAGCTAATTTCCAAGTTTCGTGCCTCAAACTCTCCCAAGCGGTAGAAAAATAATTCCTGATCACTAAAGTAGCATAATAAATGAATCCAAAGCTTCATACCTGCAAATAATGGATAAATCCCTACCAAATCGAATGAATGTTTTCATGAATCGCCATGTTTGTTATCCAAGGATGGTTGACTCCCAGAATGCAACATCAGTTACCGTATTTACTCATGACATGTTTCAAAATGGCGGAACAGCATTTTGAAAGCTGGCACGTGTCATGTTGCATTCTGGGAGCCAATCCTCCGTTCCGGCGTAATCGGGCGACAAAATCACCTCAACATTTGAAGAGTCGGCATAACATGTGAATATCCACTTCAACTTTTGAAGTTCTTATTTGTCATTAGGGACACAAATTCCACTATATTTGGACTTACTCAGACGGAGAAAATAGAGCACTGAATACACTGAGGTAAGAATTTATTACATGTGCGATAGCATGTAATTTTCATAGCTTTTGCAATTCTTTATGATCCCCACTGTAGAGTAGATTTCATGGCCTGACTTCGTTGGTAGAACTTGAAAAATAAGATTTACCTGAAGATTAGGAGTCTTACTTACCCTCTAGAGGTTAGAACACACATTTTAATGAAACCCTATCACCTTTGTTGCATCAACTATTGAGCATTTAGCACAATATCCAAGAGGTAAATCATGGATCGTGAAAATTAATTTCCTACTAAGTTCCAGAAGTTTCAATACGATAAATTACCGAACAATTGTGAAAATTGAATCTTTGTTTGTTGATTTTATAATTTACACGTGTGTGTATTCGTCTACACTTTGGTCTAAATTATAAAGCATCACAAACAGGTCCTAGAATATTAATAGACTAATACAGCAGACGGTCCATTCATACTTTCCGCGCAGCATTTCATTCAGACCAATAGTTCAATTGTAGATCATGCACTTTTTCTATCTTAGAACAGGCCATCCTCCTCTGCCCTGTCCTAAACTCGTCTGCAAAAGAGACCACAAAACATTCTTTTCAAATATTTTGATTATTTTTACATCAGACATGGTTGGATGATATGTCACAAAATTAAAGTTCAAGGTCAATACATTATTTCATGATAGAGACAATGCCGTCCCGGAAGTAAATACGAGAAAAATGGAAAAGTCCAAAAAGTATTAACACACATTTCAATCAAGTACTGTGCTTATGCTTCATCATGAACAAAACATAGCTGATATGGCTTCATTAAAATGTGTGTTCTAACCTCTAGAGGGTAAGTAAGACTCCTTTAAATCTTCAGATAAATCTTATTTTTCAAGTTCTACGGATGAAGTCAGGCCATGAAATCTACTCTAGGCTCAATAAATATACTCAAGGACAAGACATAAAATCTTCGGAAAATTTATATTTTCTTGATTTTGGAGTCAGTTTATCAATAAATATCACATGTGCACTGTTGTTAAGCTTATGGCTATTTTCGTTGTTCAAATGTTTATTCCCGAAGTCAAATGTATTTTCTGAGAATGTGACGCCACTCCGGATGACGTCACATCAGAGATTACCGTGAAACGCCATGACGTTTCTTTAAGATCCTGTAGAAACTATAATAACGGTTTGTTAGGCTACAAGATCTTTTACTTTCATTGGCTGTTTGTTGCGATGTGACGTAATTTGAGAGACCTCTTAAAAATTTACCTCTCAAAAAAGTAACTGGACCATTTAGCCTCCTACCAAATTATTTTTTTGTATTTATTTTATTTGGATAGTTCTTAATACTAAAAGTAACTCCATGATTCAATGAGTTTAAAATAATATATCATTCTACATTGTAATTTATCCAAATCCTCATGAAATTGAAAAGTAAGGTTATTGTAATAGATGTTTTAAAACAGTAACATTTTGCAAGACATATATCAGACAAGCAAGCGAAACATGTGTACACCTATACCGGCGATTACTAGAGTGCTGCTAACTCGATAAAAGAATTGTCTATGGTTCTAACCAGGATAAAGATACCAGTTATTCAACTCGACAATGGGAAGAACCGCTCTACCTTAGTGACTAATATATCATTATATGACATCTAAAGAGTCAATAAAAGATATATAAAGATATATATATAACATCCAGTCATAATAACATGAACCTGTATGAGGGCCTTCTATACACTATTGATCAGGGTTTGGTGTGAATGGGACATTTCTGATGTAAAAATAATTTTATTAACACTAACACTAAGGCTGCGTTTTTGAACTGCACGCGGGAATTGCATAATATTGCATAATATTAATATATAATAAGTATTCCTCCTATGTATCACGAAAAAGAACAATGAGCCCATGCGATGCAAATTACATGCTCACAAGTTTTCAACAAAAACAATTCATCCAAGCGCACTTAAACTGCTAATTACGCTGTGGCAACCTTGTCAGCTGCTCACAGGTGTCAACCCCGCCAGCTTGTTACAAGTGCACCATAGAAGTTTGATTGCAATAAAACGTGATGTCTTTCAAAAGAATATGTAGTGCGCTCGGATGAGTATTTAAGGCAATCAAGAGATCAATAAATATCAATAAATGTTAAAATGAAGTCAAGGATTAAGAAAATGAAGTTTTATGTTTTACTACCAATTCACACCAAACTTTCAGTGTGACTTGGTGTGAATTTTTGTTGGTAAAGATCAAAAGGATTAAACACCCGACAAACTTTTATTCGGAAATAACAATTATAATCCAATTCGAAAAATAAAGCACCCGATTTTATAATACATGTTATACAGTATGAATGAATTTGGTACTGTTTGAAATCCTAGTTTTGAATTCCGCTTGTTAGCAATTACGAAAAGTGCGCCAAATGTGTCTAAAACGCCAGTTACCACAAAAATATGGTGTTTATAAGTAGAAAAAGTTTTTATGGATACATTTGCTGCTATTGCTCCGATTTTGATGGATATCAAATTAAAGAGAATCAAAAAATATATTTTTGAAAATTACATTTATGCAAATTTGCTCATATGCATATTGATTGTGACATCGTAACTGCATTATTTTGACGGATTTTATTCAAATTTTATAGGCTTATGCTTATGGGTGTAGGACTTCTGCTCGCGAAGGAATTTTCAATATGGCCGCTAAATTAAAAATGGCGGCCATTTTTCGGAAAAAAAATCTTTGATAACTCAAATACTAGTGGATGGATTTGGTTCAAATTTTATATGCTGTTACCTGGGTACAAAGGAGCCTTGCTCAAGAAGACATTTTCAAGATGGCCGCCATATTCCAAAATCGCGGCCACTTTTCGTAAAAAAAACATTATCATTGATAACTCAAATACCATTGAATGGATTTGGTTCAAATTTTACATGCTGATGCCTATGGACATAGGAGCTCTGCTTGAGAAGGGATTTTCAAGATGTGAGCAAAATTTCAAAATGGCCGCCATTTTTCATAAAAGAACGTAGCCTTTGATAACTCAAATACCAGTTGATGGATTTGGTTCAAATTCTATATGCTGATGCCTAGAGACAAAGAAGTTCTGCTTAAGAAATTTCAAAGGTGTCAGCTGAATTTCAAAATGGCTGCCATTTTTCATAAAAATAGGTAATCTTTGATAACTCGAATACCATCGGATGGATTTACTTCAAATTTTACGAACTCCCGTGCAGTGATATATCACTGCGGCGGGTAGGTATCTCACCATAAGCATGGTAACTTCGTAATAAACAACTGACGTGATTGGTTCTAGTCCCATGCTCAGGTCGCGTGATTGTAAAATTTAGACAATTTCATTGGTTGAATTGCGCGTATTAACTAATAAACAACACTTGGGGTAAACTATTATCAACAAAACTTTTACTCAGAATTCCTTCCGCGGTGATTTCTTCTCATATTTCAATAATTTTGAAATATTTTGACAAAATAATGTTTGGGGAACATTCA